CTATGAGGTGGTATATAAGCAGCATGCTTTGCTTTTGCTCTATTTGATCTAGGACCCATTTGTAAATCTTTCTGGCAGTCCATGGCATCCGCAAAATTCTCCTCCAGCATACCAATTTTTTTCCTGTCTGTTTTCTTCACTGTCTAGCTTCCATATCTGTATGTAGTGATCAGGAACAGGGAGTGTGTTTGATATTGGTTGTCCTTACACCTGATGATCTTTTCTAATTCCTCTACTGCTGCCCCTCCAAGTCTCATCTTTCTGATTTCTTGGCTTCTGTTTCCAATTGGATTGATTGATTGAACCAAGATAATATTCAAAATATTTCCCCAGACTCATAGAATAATTGAATTGGAGGGGGCCTATATGGCCATTGAATCCAGCTTCCTGATCAGTACAGGAATCCAAATCAAAGTAGATCTGACAGATGGTTTTTTCTTGAAAGCCTTTGGAATTGGAACACTCAACACCTCCCAAAATAATCAGTTTCATTGCTGTACTGCTCTAACTGTTCAGAAGTTTTTTCTGATATTCTGCTTAAAGAGGTTTCATGCTAGCTATAACTACGTGAACTCATATCTGGCCATCTTCAAAACTGGGACTCTCAGGTTCAGGACTGAACCTAGGTGTATGCTCAAGCTGTGAATTTTGAGTTTTCAGAGAGAGGGTAACCTGATCCAACACTTTCCCTCATCTGTCTTTGAGCTGACCAGGAACACCTCTGTTCTTGTCTAGATTAATCTTTTTTTTTAAACCTTCCTCCAGTCCACAGATAACATTAGATTTAGAACTGAAACAGCTTCTTCATGTTTGGATGGAGAGGAGAAATAGAGCTAGGTGTCATCTGTCTGCTGGAGACAGACTCCCCATGATTTCATATACTGTATGTGTAAGATAGCAAGAGGGACATACAGTGGGGTCTCGACTTACGAACGGCTTGACATACAAACGTTTCGACTTACGAAGCGCTCTCATAGGAATATATGGACTTAACTTACGAACTTAGATTCGAGTTACGAACTCTTTTTTTCCCTTTTTTAAAAAGCTAAGTCATCTTAGGTTAAAAGGAAAAAAGAAAAAATATCCCCCTCTAGTGGCAGAAGGTGGAATAGCAGCTTCCCATTAGTTTCTATGGACGAAAAGAGCAGATACGGATTAAATGGTTTTCAATGCATTCCTATGGGAAATGCAGATTCGACTTAAGAACTTTTCGACCTGAGAACTGCCTTCCAATACGGATTAAGTTCGTAAGTCAAGACCCCACTGTATTGGAACCCTGAAGGCCTCCCTGGTTCTCTATAACAAGCTCAGAGAACCAGTTGAAAAAGATTTTTATGTAATCCATCTTATCCAGGTACAACCAGATTCACACACTCGTACTTTGTGCAAGAATGGAATATTAGAGATTGACCAGGAGTTATCCAGTGCAGATGGATTCAAAAAGGGTTTTTCCAGCAATAGTCTTTTTAGTGTCTCCAGTTTAGAGATCCTCAAATTGCTGCAAGGAGCATCCACCCCTTCCTTTCCTCAGTTAATCTTTCTTCCAGCTTTTTTTTTTTTTTTTTTTTTTTGCTGTGTATGATAAAAATATGTACTTTGAATAAATTTCTAGTACTCTAAATGAGCTTGCCCTGGAAAAGTTGATGGTAGAACTGACAACAAACTGGCTGATGAACTTAGTAGTACCCGATGTAAGATCTGTCGTGAGGTTGATGGTAAACCGTAGCCACAGTTGGGTCATATGCTCATGCTTATTGTGTACTGCAAATAAAATATATGGGAAGGATGCTAACATCCTACCTGCTGGGGATTTTCTGTGTGTTACTTCTTTACCCACCAAGGATTGTTGAAATTAGAAATACTATCTGTTTCTGTGAGTAAGTAAAAACACAAAAATATAATATAGGTTAGCGTGATTAAAATACCATGTCTTCAATAATAATTCTGTGCTGTCAAGTGAATTCTGATTTATGGTGACCCTTCCCAGGGTTTTCAAGGTAGAGAGTACTCAGAAGTGGATTACCATTCCCTTCTTCTTGGGCACTTCTGGAACCGTGCAGCTTTTCCCAGGGTCATACAGGCTGGTTCTTCTGGGATGCACAAGGGGGAATTGAACTCCAAACTTCTGGATCTGTGGCCAAATACGTAACTCGCTGAGCTATCTTTACATCATGTTTATTACTAACTTTTGTTTGGGCTAATCTGAAATTGCCTGTTAGGGCAGTCTGTTCAGAACCCTTGGTGAAGTTGGGCTCAGTTTTGGGAGTCAGTTTAAAGTCCAGCTGCTGTACATTTGATCTAATATAAGTTATAGAAAAACTAGAGCACAAGTGACTGACTTATTCTAATAATAATTATGTGCTGTCAAGTTGATTTCAGCTTATGGCAACCCTTCCAGGAATTTCCAGGTAGTTTTCAGAAGTGGTTTACCATTGCCTCTCCTCCTTAGGGCACCCTGGAACTATGCAGTTTGCTCAAAGGCTACACATCTGGCTTTTCCCCTGCAGTCAGATACCTAACTCACTCCATGAGATATGTGCAAAAACATAATTCCTTGCATCTCAAGAAATGTTGAAATGATTTCCTCCCATTTCTTCTTTGCATGTAGGACCTCATTTTTTTTTCTGGTCTTACTATTGTGGTAGTGGCCATTAATGTTTCTCCTGAACATGACGAAAACAATATAAAGTTTGCACTGTTTATTTCTTGAAAACATTTTGCATGTGTTTTTTGAATAATATAATAGCATCTCTGAGGTGCAATGTAGGCAAATGGCAATTCCCATCAAAATTATTCCCTTGCAAGTCATATCCTTTCAAAGTCTCTAGTGCCCCAAGAGGGCTCCTTCCTGCCTGTGATTCTCCATTATGGGCCAGCACTCACTCCTGCCTGTCTTCTTGTTGTGTGTGTTAGCCTCGGATGTGGTCCTCCTCGACAAAAATGGCTCATTTAAAGCTACTACTTGACTTGGGAGAAAATCCTCCACTGAC